CTACAGCCCACTTCTTCGGATGCATATGCATCCGAAGAAGTGGGCTGTAGTCCACGAAAGCTTATGCTCTAATAAATTTGTTAGTCTCTAAGGTGCCACAAGTACTCCTGTTCTTCTTTTTGCGGATACAGACTAACACGGCTGTTACTCTGAAACCTGAGAAAAGTTAAGGATGAACACAAATTTCATTGTAACTACATAGGATAATGTTGCTGTTTTCATTTTAAATTCTAATCTGTACACAATTTTCAAATCAATGTAATTTAAGGATATTCTATAGCAAGTTTAAGAACATAAGAATGCACATACTGGGTCAAACTAATGGTTCACCTAGCCCAGTATCCTGTTTTCTAACAGCTTCAGATGCCAGATGCTTCAGAGGGAATGAATTTAGGAGGGCAATTTATCGAGTGATCCATCCCATCGTCCAGTCCCAGCTTCTGGCAGCCAGAGGTTCAGGGACACCCGGAGCATGTGGTTGCAGCCCTGACCATCTTGTCTAAAAGCCCCTGATGCACCTATCCTCCATAAACTTATCTAATTATTTTTGAACCCACTTATACTTTTGGCCTTCACAACATCTCCTGGCAACAAGCTACACAGGTTGACTGTGCGTTGTACAAATCTGCAGCTATTAATTTCACTGGGTGCCCCCTATTTCTTGTGTTACATGAAGGGATAAACAACACATCCTTATTCTCTTTCTCTACACCATTCATGATTTTAGATACCTCTATCGTATCTCTCTTCTAAACAGAACAGCCCCAGTTTTTTTTAATCTCTCCTCACAGGGAAGCTGTTCCATACCCCTAATGATTTTGTTGCCCTTCTCTATACTTCTTCCACTTGTAATACATCTTTTTTGAGATGGGGCGACGAGAACTGCATGCAGTATTCAAGGCATACCACAGATTATGTTTTTATTTGTATATGCGCATATATACACACACACATATGCATTATATATATATATATATATATATATGCATTAGGATATTTTCTGTCTTGTCATCTATCCCTTTCTTAATGGTTGGCTAAGACAGTCATATAGACATTCAGTCCTCTGAATTAGAACTCACTTCATTCACAGTTTACATGGGTATCTAAAACCGCTCATTTAATATTTCTATGTTCAAGCATTTAGATTGTTAAAGAGACACCCTTTAATTTCAATAACCTCGTAAGGTTTATAAAAATAAAGCTATTTGAAACATGTTTTATTGACACTAGTTATTAAATATGGGGCGCATTTCAACTCAATCTGGTTAAAGCTCTTTGAAAGGAATTGCAAAGGAGGTGGTCCTATAATTTAAAGATCATGTATGGCACCTAACATTGTCCAAACGAGACAATTGCACTATAATGGCCCCAGCTGTTTACAATTGAAATATAAAAAATATAATGTGGATCATAACATCCCAACTCTGTTTCATGTATTTAAACTTCCTAAAAGGTTCTAAAGTGACAGAACATATATGATTTCCAAGATAATGTCACAAGCATGGCTATAAACAGTTGCTTTCTCTAGATCAATTAGTTTTAACCAAAAATAAATGATGTTCTCCTCTGTTCTACACATTCGGTAGAAAAGTATTTTTGAGGCTTTCTACTCCAGCTTATTATTTTTTGAAGGGCCATAAAGCACTTTTCTGGTAGGAAAACAAGCTCAAAGTTAGTTATATCCTTCAATGTCAGTATTGAATACAATGCTGTTAACCGGCCTTGGTTTTGCAGTGTTTGCATAGTCTGTAAAGTTCAATCTCAACAGTCTAAAATAAATGTTCATTAATAATTATGTACTTTTACATTTATTATCCAAAACTCAATCAGGTTCATTTTAAAAACAGAAAAACGTACTGCTTACTTCATCTCCCCTAATTAAGCAACTTTGCCTTAAGAGGAAGATATGAAGACCCTTCAACACCACTTCAAGTATTTCTCCAGCTAACAAAGAACCAGCTTGACCAACATGCCCTGCTATCACTTCTGTACATGCACTCAGTTCCACTTCTAAATAATTTTGTATTTCCACAGTTATAAGAGAAAAACTAGAAAACTGTCATGGGGGGGGGGGAAGGGGAGAGATGGGGAGAGCGCACACACACACCGGTGGCGGGGGTGCATGGGAGGAAATGGGCAGAAAGGTTACATAGGCAGTGATTTCCTGGCTCCACCTGGCTGGTTTCTCGGGGGCAGGGGCCTGGGAATTGGGTAAGGGGGTCTCGTCTCTCAGCCTCAGGGGGAGCCGGCCAGGGTCGGAGTCTCTCGGGTTCAGGAAACCTGGGGGGAGGGGTCTCTAGTCTTCCGCGGAGTAGGGTATCGGTTACCCGTAGTATCGGAAGGCGTTGATGATTCTCCGGAAATGCTCCCCCTCCAGCCGCTCTTCCTCCTCCTCCTCCATCCTGCTCACCGTCCCCTGCTCCGGCTGCTTTCGCCTGAGCCGCTCGCTGCTGAACGGCACCTCCCCGTCGTCGCAGCCACCCCGGTCTCGCCACGGCCGCTGTTCCCCTCCATCCCCCTCCCAGTCCCCCTGCCGGCGCCCCCGGAGCATCGCCGTGACCGAGGTGTGTCCTCCTCGCCTCCGGGCCGCGGCTGCAGCGAGAGCTGCGCCTTCCAGGACAGGCCGCACGCGGCCGACAACTCCAACGCTTTCCCCGCCCGCTTCCGGCACGAGAGAAAGGCGCACGCGCCCCCCGAGTACTTGCTTTATATGACGCGAGGACACCGCCCTCCAACGGCGATATACAACGGGCATGGCCCGCGCAGCCGCAGAAGAGCCCGTCCGACCCCTCCTACCAGCCAGTGAGTGATCGTGAGAAAATGCGGGAAGAGAAGAGTCAACGGCCTAACCACGAACTGTCGCGGGGGGGAGGTGTCACCCCTCCCCTCTACTGGCAGGATCCAAATCTGCTTCTTCACCGTGTGGCATAGATACCGGGGGGTCCCGTGCAGCCCTGGCCGTGAGGCGTGGGGGGAGCCTGGCTGCAGCAGTAACGTTCTCACACGGCCCGCCCCCAGGCAGGGGGAGGTAGGCGACAGCAGGGAAAGGAGCAGTAGTTTGTAACGGGGGGGAGGAGAAGATGAGTCAATGGTGGCTATTTTTCCATTGAAAAATATGTTTGAAGAGATGCCATACCTATATGTAAAGGAATAGGGCACCAGGGGCAATTTCCCCCTCTCACCAGGAGTGGCCAAGCCCTGGGAAAGAGCTTGGTTGGATAATCTAAGCCCTAGACCCAGAGCTACAGCCACTCTTTTCTTAACCTGTGTACTCTAATTTTTAAACATTAGCTCTAATAAAACATTTAAATCTGTATTTCCGTAACACATACATTGTGATAGGCACTATAACACTATTGGACTCTGCTCCTTTTTAACTCCAGGGCAAAGGTGCTGTTAATTGCACTGGAGGGAGTCCTGTCCTGGAGCTGGTGAGTGCTAAGGATGGGCCATAACACAAAAAAGTAAGAGCAGACAGTGTGTGAAGAAGGAGAGTCATGATTATAATAGGTGGTAATGACGATGGTGAGGGGCAGCTACACTAAAGTCCAGCATCTAGTTTAGATGAAAATGAAGGATGCTTCTGGCCACTTGTTCTATTTTATATTAACTATTTTTTTAGCACCATAGGACTTGAGCTCCTGCAATAATACAGCAAAACACTACATGTTACACAAATGATAGTAAATGATACACAAATGATATCTTTTGGGATATTACTATAGCATAGATATATTTTAAAAATATATAAGAATATGCAGGAGTACAGAGGTGTCTAAATAAGATCCCTCAGACAGAAAATCTGAGAATAGAAGGCAGATAACTAACTGAGGCTGGAGTTAAGGGTATCTGCGATAGATACTTTTTTTCTAAACTAGTGGCCCTCAACCTTTCCACACTACTGTACCACTTGCAGGAGTCTGCAATGTCTTGCGTATCCCAAGTTTCACTTCACTTAACTACTTGCTTACACAATCAGACACAAACACTAAAGTGTCACAGAACACTATTACTGAAAAATTGCTTATTCTCATTTTTACCATATAATTATCAAAGCAATTGGAATATAAATATTCTTACATTTCAGTTTACAGTATACAGAGCAGTATAAACAAGTCATTGTCTGTATAAAGTTTCACTAGTTGTCTGTACTGACTTCGCTAGTTCTTTTTATGTAGCCTGTTGTAAAACTAGATAAATATCTAGGTGATTTGGTGTACTCCCTGAAAGATCTCTGCGTACCCACAGGAATACACAAACCCCGGTTAAGAACCACTGATCTATAGTAGAATACATTGTATTGTAAAGATATCTTTAAAATACAGCTCAAATCTATAGATGTATCAAGGATCATTGCTCTTAAGGATTTAAAGTTAACTAACAGGTTATACCTATTTCTATATTACCTTCTCCAACCACTTTTAGGAATAGAACCCAAATCTCTAAGACAGATAAAACTGGGATTGTTACATTATAGTACAGTACTTATACCCCAGAGCCAGAGATAGAATCTAGGATTTCTGTGCATCAAAAATAAGAAGTTTCTGGCAAGTATCAGCTAGTTTAATACATACTTGCTTTGCTATCATGTGACTGCACACCTCCCTGCAAAATAAACATATTATATATATATATTTAAAGCCATTTATTGTTCCTCCAAGACATTTGAGAAAACACAATTAGAGTATATTTTATTTGTTGTATAAAATTGAAATACAGAAATTCACATTAAAAAGTATTTCATCTTAAACATATTTCTACATACACTTACACTGCTTCTGTTTTAGTAGATCACCACGAATATATTTTCTGCTTACTATTAACAGTCTTAATATTGCATTCATGATCAGACAGTCAAGATGGCTACCATATTATAGTTGTCAGGCTAAAAATATCCGAACAAAAACACATTTCTGTGCTACCAAAATGCCTGAAAGTGAACAATACTAGAACTTTTAGGGTTGGAAGGACCCTGTAGTAGGTTATATGGTTTGCACCTTTGGTTTGAGTAGAATTAAGATATCTAGACAATCCTCAAAAGATAGTTTGTTTTCAAATAGTTTTAAGTCCTCCCTGTGTGTATTTATATATTTTTATATGACTGAGAAGCTGGTACTATTCCTTAGCTGATCTAAACCATATAATTTTTCTGTTCTCTAATCACATTTCTTTTTTTAATTTATTTCTAATTAATCATTTATGATTAATGAGAATCTTATTCTTTCCTTCTTCTCTTTTGTACCATCTTTTGTGCATGTCAGCCAGAATCTTTTACAACTCAAAACCTTATTTTCCAGGCTGCACGTTTTTCATCCTGTTACTGTTAACACATCTGAACCACTACCAACCTCTCTTCTTATCCTACAACTCTTTCTAATAGCCTAGTAGTTGCTCTTCAGATTATCTATATCCTTTCCATAGTGCCCCAAACAATACACAATACTCCAGCTGCATTCTAACAAGCACCATGTGAAAAAGGAAGAATTCTGTTTCTGTTCTCAAGTGCAATACCTCCCAAAATGGCTTTTGCCTCTTTAACCACATCATGTCATTTAATACTCATATTTAATATCTTATGAGCTATTACTTCTATTTTTCCCTATATTACTAACGTGCAATCACTTTGCATTTGTGATTTTCAATTCCAAAAATATTTTACTTGGATATAAAATTGTGCACATAGCGTATACCTATGAAAGTATATTTATGAAATATCCAAGGCTATATTTCCATACATTAAAGTAATTTTCAAATTCCTTATATTACATGATTAAATATTAAATCAGGCTTAAAGTTTGTCACAGGGTTACAGATGCCACTCTGAGCAAGGCTATCACTTTAAAAATACTGCACTAGTCTACTGGATGACCTATACTGTTCATCAATATTTATAAGTCTAACAGAAATAGCAGTCACTACAGTACAATATGGATTTGTATAAACTGGTGTTTCGGATGTACATACAATAGATTGGGTGGATCACTTTGCCAGAAACCATAAAATTGACCCTGAATCCATACTGGAAAGAATTCCCACTTCTCACATGGTTTTGCTGTGACCTGCTCACCTTAAAAAAATAAAAGTAAAGATATCAGTTCACAGATATTAGATGGCATCTACTATATGTCTTGTCACCTACCTGAATCTCAAAATATGTTATTCTTTCCCTCTATGCTCAAATCTTGTCAAACCTCAATTTTTTTGCTCAAAGTAATATGTTACCACTTTCTCTCAAAAACTTTCAAATATATCTCTTAACTCTGCAAAGTTATCCAGCAATTGATCTATCTGTTCCAGATATGAAGCAGTTGTAAAACAAGTGTTTACATTTAGTTTGTATATAATCTACATTAAGATACTAAACGTCTCTCTCATTCATGAGGATATGGCACATATACACAATATCACTGACTGTATTTTTAATTATTTTTCCATTTAATTTTTATTTTTCAATTAATGTTAACCTGCTTCACTGTGAATAGCTGGTATTTATGATGACCTTCTCTGCATGCCTTTTATGAATGCTATGTATTGGCACAAACCATAACCAGGAGTTTTGTTTGGCTGGGCTTTTGCAACCTCATTCCCCCCCCCTCTTGTTTTATATATATTTTTAATAGTAAAGATCAGCCACAACTCTGTACCCAGTTATCTATATCATGTAGTGATGTATTTCAAAATTTAATTTAAAATTCAAATTGTAATGGATTTTGAGTTACAAAATAAATGTATAGACAGACCAGCAAGATCTATACATTCACTACACTGCATCAGTATCAAAGAGGTAGTAAAAGCATGGCACATGTTATACACCAGGGGTTCTCAAACTGGGGGTTGGGACCCCTCAGGGGGTCATGAGGTTATTACATGGGGGGTTGCGAGGTGTCAACCTCCACCCCAAACCCCGCTTTGCCTCCAGCATTTATAATGGTATTAAATATATAAAAAAGTGTTTTAAATTTATAAGGGGGGGTTGCACTCAGAGGTTTGCTATGTGAAAGGGGTCACCAGTAAAAAAGTTTGAGAGCCACTGTTATACACAGTAGGAAGACCAGACTTATGGGATCAACTATTAAGACACAAGCTTTGCTTTTTCTTTCAGATAAATATGCACTGATTCTTCCACTAGAGTTCTTTTTAAGAACCAGTGGACATATTCTTTGACAGACTCCAGTTAGCTTACTGCTGCAACTCATTTAACTACTGCTTAATTTAAAAGAAGAAGAAAAAAAAAAGAGCTGTGTGTATGCTTCCTAATCTAAATAAACAAAAGGTGGGTTAACTAAAATTCCCTCTAATGATTGTGAAAATTCAGTAGAGAGAAGAAAATCACCCCAAATAGTGTGGAATAGGGGATTAGGAAAACCAGATTTATTAAATGTTCTGGTTCTTCAATATTTAAATCATTATTTGAGAGCCTTCCTGCACAGGCCTAATTGCTCCACTTAGGAAAAGCAGATGTTTGAGAATCTGGGGGAACATTGTAAAAAGGTTATTCCCAACATGCAAGCACCAACAAGAGAGAGCAGAGAGGAGATCTAAAATGATAAAATAACTCAGCCTTTCAGTGCGGTCAAAGAACCTGGTCAAAATCCAGCTTAAACAGAGTGCCATAAGGTCTCCGCTGACCAAGCAGCGCCAACATGAGCTCAGTTTTTAAAGTTTTACTTTAAAGCCCACCCATAGTAAGTGATTAGTATATTCTATTGCAGGGGTAGGCAAACTACGGCCCATAGGCCGGATTGCCCACAAGTTCCCGCTGGGGAATGGGGTCTGGGGTGCTGGGACTCGGGCCGCAGCACACGGCTCAGCCCCACGTCAGGGGCCGCAGCACACCACTCAGCCCTGCTGGGTCGGGGGCCACAGCACACGGCTCGGCCCTGTTCTGGCACTCCGTCCGGGGCGCTGGGTCGGGGGCTGCACCACGCAGCTCCCAAAAGCCATGGCATGGCCCCACTCCGGCTCTTATGTGCACCAATGGCCCCCTCCGGCAATTGGAGCTGCAGGGGCAGTACCTCTGGATGGGGTAGCGTGCAGAGCCTCCTGGCCGCGCCTCTGCATAGGAGCCAGAAAAGGGACATGCCACTGCTTCTGGGAGCCACTTGAGGTAAGCGCCGCTCGGAGCCTGCACCCCTGAGCCTCTCCTCATGCCCCAAACCCCTTCCCCAGCCCTGATCCTCCTCCTGCTCTCCAAACCCCTCGGTCCAAGCCCAGAGCACCCTCCTACACCCCAAATTCCTCAGCCCCAACCCCACCCCAGAGCCTACACCCCCTCCCACATCTCAACCCCAATTTTGTGAGCATTCATGGCCCACCATACAATTTCTATTCCCCGATGTGGCCCTCAGGCCAAAAAGTTTGCCCACCCCTGCTCTATTGGTATACCACAGAAGGATGAAGGGCTAAGCAAATACTGGTGTACTTGGAATCTATGGTTCCAGAAAGTCCAAGTATTTTAGATCTAAGGTTCAGACCACAGCTACCCTTCTATTTTTTTAGCTTTTTGCTTCCTATTTAGACAAAATATAAGAGTTTGTAACACAGGATGTCAAATGCTAGGTATTTACATTATCCTTTAATATTGGCATAGATTTTTGTTAATGAGTTCCCTTATCCTGTTCCAATTTCCCATAAGATGACTTACTTTTTCCATGTTTCTAGCTCCCGTACTATATCATTATAAACATATGAAAAGAGGTCTTCCTCAGATTTTGTTCCATCCAAATAAACTGAGAAAGAAGGGGAGAGAAAAGTGGTCACAATATTACTAATTAAATTAAACTATAACTTCCTATACATTTGTATAGGACCCAGCAAAATCCCAAATGGCATCTGTAGGTGCTATCACAATAGAAATCAAGAATACTTCCTTTCCTCTCCCAATATCGCTTAAATAGAAGTCCATAAATAGGGGATCGATCCACCCAAAAATACCAGATTCTTTTTTAAAAATACATAGTCCATAGATGTCCCAAAAGGACAGAAATCCTAGTTCTATGATAAGCTGAGAAATTCAGCAGAAATTTTCCCCTGTAAGGGAAAGCCCCTCGGTGAAGGAGGTTGGAAACCATTACTGCCAGAACTTGTACAGCCAACCAGAAAGTGGAGAGTTAATGCAAATTAATATTCTTCTGTGGCCCACTATGTATGTAATCTTTAGGACCTCCAGCTAGGTTGTAATAACTCTCCTAATGGGAAGAGGATACGATGATGAATGTGCTGTAATCTCTAATACTCCTGGTTGTTTAGGTTAAAAATATATATTATATATTTATTTATTTGAGCGGGGCAAAGACAGATTCTTTGTGCTATGCATGCTCTTTTATTACTTTCCCCATCCCTAAAGGAAATAATGACAAACACGACAAAACTGTTTTCCCTACCCAACTATAAATATGGATTGGTTGATGAAGTCCAGGTCTATATTAGAAAAGTATAGATATATTGGCAGATCCCCCTAGTGTGGACGCACCCTATTAAACTGGCAAAAAAGTGCTTATCCCAGCAAAAACACTTATGTCAATATAATGGTCTACCTGCAAAAGCCCCAGTGTATAGAAACACTGCAAAAAGAAAAGTCAAGTCACACCCCCAACTGACATTACTATCCCAGCAAAAAAAATTCTAATGTAGATCTGACTTGAGGAAAAGTTGGATATGGCTCCTTCATTGTTCCTTTTTGCAGGACTGACATTTATTCTGTCATTAAAAATAATAATAATAATAAAATCCTCACCAGACAGAGTATTTGAGAGATTTTGAGAATGCTGATTTGAGTCTCTCAGCATCCTTCTGCAGCCCTCTGTTATCTGAACATGTCAAATTTCACTCTAAGCAGGGTTTGTTCTGGACAGTATATGGATGAGAACCCTCTGAGGAACAAGAAACACTCCCACTTCAGCCAGTACAATACTAGGCAATTCCTCAGCATAGCGTTAAGAGGGCAAGAGGATCAACAACGAAAGGCTGGGATTGCTGCGAACAATATCATACACCCAGGGTTCCTAAATTATCAGGGCTTTGGGCACCACTAGCTTCATTTCAAACAGTTGAACCTCATTTTCTCAGATTGCTGAGTAAGAACACATGTTGCAGGTGGTTATTTAATAAATTCTTCCATTCATCTGGAACCCTACATTCATTCTCCTCTTCTGTTTTCCATAAAAGATCCAGATTTCTGGAAATAGTCCAGCATCTCCTAACTACAGAGTGGGGATGTCAGTCTCCCTGGGCACAAGATACAGGTTTCTACTCAGTTTCATAGTTAAACAAAAAAAACCAAAGTCCCATAATTCAGCCTCTGGGCCTTGCACTCTCTCTTGTCACGGGGGTGAATTTCACCATTAACCTTTTCGATAAATATAAATCTTTAGTATGATATTGATCAATAAAAGAAAAGAATTTAACACCTGATCATGAACAGTGTTGAGCATGTCTAACTGCCATTCAAAACAAGCTGAAGGTGCTCAATGCCCATCGCCTTGCAGGAAGTGCTCTTCATGTTGCAGGATCAGGCTCTAACAGCATTATTAGTTTGGCATTATGCAAACTTCCCTACATAGCTCCACCAAAGCACCCAAAATCCTGACATGTCTCATGTCAGACTGTGTAGTGCCTTAGCAATGTGTACAACTTGGAGGAATTAAACTTATTCCATCTAAGATCTAAATCAGGATTGTAAGCCACATTCTAATGCATCAACCCAATGAGCCATACAACTCCCCAGAATTCTTCTAGTTAACCACACACACACACACAAACTGGTTTGTCACATGGAGTTTAGGAATCACTAGTGAAGTTGACTAATACATGTTTGTTTATTCCTATAACTCACAAAGGTGGGTAATCTCTACAAGATTTTCTTGCATGAAGATCACTTATCTATGAGCAGACAATAAATGCATTTAACACTGCTGCATAAATGCCAAAAAAATTCTGGAAAAATAGAGTGATTTGCAAAAATCACTACTTTTAATAATTTTTATATATTTAAAGATTATGTATACCATACCGATATTATTTTTATTTTCTTCCATTTCCCTTTTATGTTTCAAATACATAGGCCATACGTGTCCATCGAAGTATCCTGGTGGATCTGCCGGTTGATAAACTCTGGTACTACAGAAAAACAGATTTGCTTTCCTGTGCAAGTTTTACATTTTTTTTTCCTGGTGTGCACTCATATACTCTTCATTGTTTATTTAGTAAGAATATCTATCCAAAATAGTAAGAGAGGGAGCCTATCTGCTGGTCACAGCACAGGAGACTCCTTAGTTATAACAGGATTTAGCATATTGCCCATGTGACCTCCATCAAATCACCTATTTCTGCCTATCGTTTCAACTACAAACTGGATAAGAGCAGATTCTTATTGAAACAATGTTGCATCATAATTAAAATTCATTGCATAAGTAAGTTACATAAGAATAGCCAAAATACATTGCTATCACAGATAATATTTTTCACATTGGTCTAAATTCTGAGAAGTGACTAGCGATTTTGGTTGCTCAACTTGCAATACCTTAGAGCACTGGCTCTCAACCTTTCCAGACTACTATGCCCCTCTCAGGAATCTGATTTGTCTTGCGTACCCCAAATTTCACTTCACTTAAAGACAACTTGGACTTGCTTACAAAATCAGACATAAAACAATAAAAGTGTCACAGCACACTATGACTGAAAAATTGCTTACTTTCTCTTTTTAACCATTATAAAATTCATCAATTGGAATATAAATATTGTACTTACATTTCAGTGTATAGTATACAGAGTGGTATAAACAAGTCATTGTCTGTATGAAATTTTAGTTTGTACTGACTTCGCTAGTGTTTTTTATGTAGTCTGTTATACAACTAGGCAAATCTCTAGATGAGGTGATATACCTCCTGGAAGACCTCTGCGTACCCCTGATTGAGAACCACTGCCTTAGAGGGTCTGATTTTCAGAAGCGCTGAGTATCCACCTTTTGATGATTTAACTCCTTTAAGGTCTCTTAAATTGGGCTCCTAGAAAGAAAGGCACCAAAAATCTACTAGTCACTTTTCAAAACATAGGCCATTATGAATATGGGAATTCTGCAATCAGTGAACCAGATTCTGACCTTAGCTACATTTGTGTCATTCTAGAATAAAGTCATCAACACCAGATTTGCAACAGTAACTGAAGGCAGAAAGGGGCCAATATCTAACTCAAATAATACGCAATGTAAATGCATGTCAACTCTGCCACTGAACAGCATTGTGGTGGCACAGCTTCTTGTAGCTGCAAGAGTAAACACTGTTTCTGTCCCCTCTTAAACAATGCTTAAGTGCAACTGTACTGTAATTAACCTATATTTTAAGTTCCTTGGACAAGGAGCTTTTTTCTTTGTGTCTGTACATTGGCAGTCTGAACAGTGATTGGTGTCCCCATGCACAACTACAATATGAATAATAAACAAGGGATGGATCTATACATTTGAGGGTTACAGATGCTGTTTGAACATCCCTGGGAACCACAAAGGCTCTACCCTCAGGGATGGAATAGTAACAAGGCGAAGCTCACTACCTCAGCAATAGCAAGATCACAAGAAGGGACTGAGGAGAGTCGGCAGACTCTGCTCTGAGTTGTTACAGTTGGTAGATGTGTGAGAACACATTGACATACAGGAACCTTTCTGTCGTACGGGTACTAGGGCATGGTGATCTGCAGTGAGCAATAATTTTAAAACATTACCTCCGTCTCCTCTTGCATTCTTCATATGGAATGGTCAGAAAATATCTTCTATCCCATACTTCATTAAGAGGCCTAAGATGACAGCATGTTTAGTCATTTTGTTTCCTTATTCATGCCCCCATTCACAGTTTATATTAACGTGACATTTTAAAGTTATTTGTAAGGTAGTGTTGCTTACTCATAGTTATACAGAAGAAAACCTTCAGCTATTAAAATGTGAACTTCTTCTGTACTTTTCAGATTGACAGGTGTACTCTTTGATTCTGCTGTTGAGACAGAAGAGCCTGTTGGGTTTTTCATCCATGAGTGTATGCTTGTCACCATTTCCTCCATATAAAGGGCATCAAGTACTAGAAAAGACATAAAAGGTTAAGTTAACATGTTTTTGTTTTGGCTTTTAATTTTTGCATTATTTCTGAGTTAAGTAGAAACCCTGTCAAATAGTTTAAGATCTAAATGTAGGTGTTAAGTAAAAGAAGCAGGGTTAATTTAAAAGAAATGGAAATTTAAATGTTAACATTCCCATTTACTACTGGAACCTAAAACAACAGCACTGAATTTGGGCATGTGAACCAGAATGTCCAGCTGATTCATCTAGTTTCATTGTCCAAACTGAGTGAAGTTCAAAAGTTGAACTGAAAGTTACATAGCTGATGAATGTTGGTAGTAAACACAGAATTAAAGGTTTAGGCTAATGTTATAAATAGCCAGGTATTAAAGGAAATCTTAGATCAGCTGCAGGATATTAAACTGGAGGTTTATAATTAGAGATGGCCTGATGGCTAGCCTAGAATTTAAAGATCCAGATCTCAAATTGCAATTTGGACTCATTTTTAGTTATAATTTGCAACACATTTGGTCTGTAGTACAGTCCTGAACTCAATGAGACTTCTTGCATGAGAAAAAGGTTGAAACTTGGATCTGATCTTGCTTGATTTAGGATCTGATTCTGGGAGGTGCTAAGCAGCCTTGATTCTCAGTGACTTCACATCAGGAGTTGAGGATGTTACAGGAAGTGCTCAGAACTTCCCAGGACATGTCATGAGGTGCAACTCTACAAAGGGAGAAAAAGGGACAACTATTTCAATTAAATTTCACTATTTGCTAATAGATAACTTTCTGTATTACATCTGATTTCATTTTACTGGCCTGGAATCGAAATATAACTACCAATCACTTCAAGGGAGTCAGAATTTCACCTCTGGAATGCAGTTTTCTCTAAGTTACTGTCAAACAAGAATAAGATATTAATATCTATAGTTTAATTATTTGGTTTTAAGGTGAATATTGCTCGTTATGGGCCAGATTCTGATACTCATGTTGACAACATACTCCACAAGTAGCCCTATTAAGTTAGTGGGGCTATTTGTGAAGCAAGAGGCTACCCAAAATGAGTAAGAGTGCCAGAATATGGCCCTAAATGACCAAACAAAAATAAACATTTAACACTGTAAAATGGTATAATTGGCATTAGGTTTGAAATCACAATTACTAATGCTGTTCAGAAGAGTCTTAATATTGACAGGTTAATAAATTGACAAGGTTTCACTATAAGCAACAGACAGTTGGCTGCGTCATGCCCCATAATTTAGAAGACCAAGAATAGAGAGAATAAAGTCTGTTGCAGACAGTTTGTTTAACTAGACTCTAGAAAAGGAAAGCACTGGATGAAGCAGTCTGGAGACCAACCTCCTCAGAACTTTAGATACATGCTGTCACCAGAAGAAATGTTCATAATATCCTCTGCTAAGTGAGAGCTGTTTCTGGAGAAACAGAAAGAGCTAGCTAATTTGCAAAACAGACAGATATAAAAAGTCAGTGATAAATGCAGGAAGTTAAAATATTATTGCTATTCCATAGTAATGGTATTGTGTAATAGTCAAATAAAGGTATGTTATATTAAACTGTCCAGTATAATGATGATGAACTTTTAAAAAACTGACTGTTAAACCAACATCCTGAAAAAATCCTCTATCGAATTACGTTTGCTTTATTTTTTTTGCAAGACACACCCCACTAACCATTAAAAAAAAAAGAAAAAAAAGAACAAAACACTGTCCCCATTGATGACTGCATTGATCCAAAAGAAACAGAAGCTAAAATTAATAAATTACAGCTGATATGTCAATATATAATGTTCACAAGCAATATACCCAATTTACTAACCATCATATTGCTTAAATCCATGTTCATCTATCTCTACTTCACATTCTGGCTAGAGAAAAAAAAATAGGCAGTTATCAGGTCAAATGGCAATAGTAACCCTATTACTCTGAATTCACTTGTGTAGTATTCATGGTGGGGATGGGTAGAAGGTTGGAAGGCCAGTGTGAATGGCGTAGGGGGAAGGTTTAGGTTGCCAGGATATGAAGCAGAAAATGTAACATGGGCAGGGGAAGAAACAGGAAGCCAAAGAAGCATGTAGAGTAGGGGAAGACAGTGGTAGAATATCCAGTGTTTTTCATAAACAGTGGATTGCAACATAGCAGGAGTGTTGCCCCCGCCCGCCCCAATTTAATCTTGATGTATCACTACGGTCCCCCCAAATTACTTTTCAAATAAAATATATTTTTTCCCCTCATCCCCCCGAAATAGTACCATCCAGGTAAAATTATTTACTAATCTACTGAAATTGATATTGATAATATATTACATATTATATAAACACAAGCATCTCTGGATTTTAATATTAACTTCTGAATAAACTACAGGTTCACTCGAGAACAATAACCACATCAGGAACAAGAACAGGCCCTTCTCACTCTCATAGATACAGAAACAGTTATGCTTTTGCATTTTTTTAAGATAGGAAAAAAAACAAGCAACAATATTTAATTTTTTGTTGCTATTTTGTTTCTATTTGTTGTTTTCTATCTGGATTTAAAAATAAACTGCAAAAATAATATGAATTGCAGTAACATGAAGCATTCCCTGAAATGCATCTGTTTCTCTACTAACCTTTAAATATAATATCAGAGGATGCAGTGCGATGATTATTCTGTTGTTCATGTTCCTAATCTTTTTTGGCAACTGAAAGCTTTAACAATATTATAGCATTCTTAATTGTATTTCCCTCTCTTCCAGATAAGAGTTTATATTGACTCTATGAACAGGATTCATTTTAAATTGTCACATACTGGTAGATCAAGAAAAAATAATATAGTCTTGCAGGAACTACATTTAAAGTCTACTTTTATGTATGAAGTCGTTCCATCAACTCAGTTACCTTAAAGAAGTCATCTTGAGAGAGTATACTGCAGTTTGGAAGCTGTTTCCTAAGTCGTTTTGCCAGTGTTGTTTTCCCCCCATTTGTCACACTGACTTTGAAAATGGAATAAACAATGTGTCAGGTCAAAAATAATGAACAACATAGGAGTGCAATGTGCGTTAGCAAAAAGGCAATTACAAAAAGTTAATTTTATTCAGAATATTAAGTACTGTTTGCAGTTTCCTAACATTTGTTTGGAAAATACTTAGTCCTGCCATGAGTACAGGGGACTGAACTAGATGCCCTCGAGTTCCCTTCCAGTCCTATGATACTATCTTTTAACTCATTTTAGTCAGCTTATATGACAATGGAAAAGAGGAAGACTAGAGTTGATGTCTGAAAGGGTCAATCTATGGTGGAGGGTGGAAAAAGTTATCAAAAAATTAAACCAGTGGCATAGCTAGGAGTGGAAATTTGTGTGGGCCCTGACTTTCAGGTGGATGGGTAATGACAGACTGTGCTAGCTCAGCTTCTCCTCCAATGCCACACCCTCTTCCTAGCCCTGGTACCCCCAGACACAAGGCTTTACCTGCCGAGCTGGGCACACGCATGGGGCAGCTCAGAAAATGGCAAGGCAGAGCTATGGGAGCTCTGAAGGGTGGGCGCATAGCTCCGTCCTGGATTTCAGGTGCCAGAGTGATGCTCCGGGGTACTGTGGCAGCACTATACCCCTGCTCAGATTTGGGTGGGCCTGGATGCTTACGGCCCGTCCAAGTCCATCTGTGGCTACGCCCCTGAATTAAATACAATTGACAATACAATATTAAGCTTAAGTTTTTAATTACTTAAAAAAAAAAAGACAGCTATATTCACACTCAGGGATTGTTAGATCACAATATGGAGTTTGAGGCAATCTTACATTTTCGTTTTAACAGAGACTGAACTTGTTTGCACTTACCCTCCAAGTCCAATGACTAACACCTTCATAATTTGTGTTCTATCCAGTTCCCTTCTTTCCACTGTTTAAAATAAGAACAATGAACAAACCTGTTTGGACAATGACAAAATCAGCTGCTACACAGGAAAATACCAATTACCACAAAAGGTCTTTTAAAGGTTTTCAACCTTTACCACTTTTATTCAACTGTCTTCACAGTCTTACCATGAGGGCTCCTTTAAGATCCAACCCTGCAATTGCTTACTACCAAGCATAGTTCTTACTATCATGAGCAGTCCCATTGCAGAAAACAGGACTACTTAGCGCAATAAAGTGTTTGCAGATTCGGCCCTTGAAAGTAACCTAGGGAAGAGGGGAGAAATGAGTTTGTGTCTTGTTTTGTTTCAAGGTTTCTTCTAGGAACTTCCTTTTCTGCTTTTATTTTTTATTTTTAACATTACAGTATCAGGAATCTCAGATTTTGTCTTTCTAATTTTTGGAGGATTGTTTTGGACACTGAGAAGTGTTCCTTGGGCACTGTGACACTTTGGGGGTTTACTCAGACCGAATTCTTCCATCAACCTAGCTACCATTTCTTGGGAAGGTGGATTACTTATGCCAAGGGGAGGAGGTCCTATCTACACAGAAGCACTGCAGTAATGCAGCCATGCACTGTAGCATTAACTGTAGACAAGCCCCTAGCAAATGACAAATATTTTATAATGAAGATCAATAAAGGTTTTTCAGTGCAGCTAAGCTCTGACTCAAAAAGAAACACTAGCTGACAAGTCAAATACCATCTACACAGCTGAAGAACTTTGAACTCATTAACTTATGTCACTGTCTGTATCAAATATAGTCACAATTTAAGGGAAGGATTCCAGAGTAAATAAAGCAGGCAACTTTATTTGTGAATGTGTGAAAAATAAAGAAAAGTGGAAACCAAGAGTGGGTAGTAAAATATTTTGTTTGCAGTGTAATTGTAGCCATGTTGGTCACAGGATAACAGAGACATAAGGTTGGTGAGGTAATATCTTCTATTGGACCAACTTTTGTTCATGAGACACATTTTCGAGGTAGAGCTCTGTGTAAACTTCAACGCTTGTCTCTTTCGCCAACAGAAGTTGGACAAATAAAAAATTTACAAATATACCATCTTATTGCAGATAGTAAAGTTATCATCAAGCTTACCATGAGCAGCCTACAACGCCAAACATTAAGGCACCAATCCTCCCAACACAGATGTACAGAATTAGTACTTTAATTTTGCATTTCTTAATTTTTCAGCTGCAATTTTTAATTATGCCACTTGGTATGTGTAAAGTATTTGCACAAATGACTTGAAGTGGCAAATCACACACACACACACACGTGTAAGGAAATGCACAGAAAAATAGGGTTCCGAGAGAATTTTCAACTTTATCTGCCAACTTGGCAGCAGTGTCCATCTACAGCAGTCTCTAGCCGGTGCGTGATTCCATTAACTGGCATAAGGACAGTATTCGCAAATATGCCCTACAAAATACGTAACAAGTGCATTTGAACTAAGTGAACGGCGCTGCTGGAGCCGTGGCCTATGAACAGGTCCAAGGCGACTCACGTTACCTGAGCTGCCGAGGCCTCTGTCGTCGCTTCCCCAGGCCGGTGGACTGCACTGCACTGCAAGCCTATGCAGCGAAAGCACCGATTATCAAGCCAGGTCACTCGCTCCCCCGGCCACGGACCGACGCACCGCGGAGCCCTGCCCCATCAGCGGGTACGCACCTCCCGCACAGAGGCTACATCGTAGCCCAGAGGACGAGCGCTCAGGAGCCCTTACGCGCGGAGACAGGCAGCAGCCTGCTCGGCCCGCCCCGTCCTGTCCCATTGACCGTCGGGATTGGCCGGCTCCAGCTCCAGCGCTCAGGAAGCGCCCGGCCCACGCCAGGGTCGGAAAGGGGAGGAGGAGCCGCCCGCCTGGCGCCACGCGCGCGGAGATTGGTTGCCTCGCGCTCCCGGGTCCACCCCTGCAGCCCCGCTTTGCGCCTGGTGCCGCAGCCGCCTCTAGAGGGAGCAGCGCCCAGCGGCTGCGCTCGCTGCTGCTCCGGCTCCTCTCACTTCCTCATCGAGCCTCGGGGACTCGCTGCTGGGACAGCCGCCGCCGCTCCGCCTTGAGCCCCGCGCCCGCTGCAGAGGAGGGGCGCCGCCGCCGGGCAGGAGAAGGGACCGGCCAAGGGCAGTTTGCGGGGAGGCGGAGAAAGGGGTTTCCCGGCTCTGTGCTAAGCCAAGCCGCCGCGATGTCCAAGCCGCCACCTAAACCAGCCAAACCAGGTAAGGGAGCGGCCCGTCGCCGCGCTCCTCCTATACAGGAACAGCAGCCGCCTTGCACCCCGCCTGCACTTGCACTCAGAGCTCGGAGTTCGTGCTCGATGCTAGACACAGAGCTGGGCTCTGACACGTGGGCGATGTTTTTCTTGTTCCCTTTTTATTTGTCCGGTGCGGGGCCCCCTTTGCTATGTGCTGAAGAGGGGGTGGGATGGGGAGGCTACTCGGGCTGGCAGAGCGCCAGGGCGAGGGGCTTCCTTTTTATCAGGGACGTGGCTCGGACTGTCACTGTCAGAGCGCACTTGCTAGCGGCCGAGGAGAAGTAGGAAGTGAGCGGAGCTAGTCCCTAGTGAGGCTCTGGGGAGAGGAAGAGGCAGAAGCAAATGCAATTACTAGTGCTCTGGGGAATCATTTTACAACCCTTTTTAGCGACCTCGGTGCTGCATGCATTACAGTTGCGGAAGGACGGAAACAAGCCTCGGTTAAAATGCTCTTCTGCTTGCTGAAGAATCTGCAACATATGCACCGAGAATTAGTCTGCAATTAAGGCGTGTCAAGCTAGAAAGTTGAAGTTGATTGTCACTGGGGTGCCTCCACGTGGGAAGAGGTGTCCTAACAAGCACCCTCTTTGGGAGCAGTTTTCCTTACTTGCGATAGCATTCTGTGATTTAATACTTGGTATAAATCTGAGACTTGCTCCTAAAAAGACAAGATTTTTTTCAGTCATCATTACAAAAAAATGCATTATAATTGTGACAGTAACTGATGAAAGGTCAGAAAATGATTTGTGAACTCTCAAGGTTTGATTGGTAAAAGTGTGTTGAAATTGCCAAAGCACAGAAGACTATTTTCTTCCAAAGCCTGAAAACACAGTTTGTCCTTTGTTGACTAGAGCCCTAGATAAGGATCCAGAGCTCCATACGAAGTATGATCTATTGGGATCAAATAACTTTTAAAGTGCTTAGAGTTGTCACCCTTAAACTAGTGAATTTTCGGTCATTTGCAAATATGTGACAATATCCTGTTGCTTAAATTTCCGTTTAGGAAAAGATGCTATCAAGATGATTCAGTGCTTAATTTGTAATGAAAGAGGTGCCGAGGCCTGAGCAGTTTTGTTACTTTCATAACTGACATAGTAAACCCAGAAGTGTCAGGGCTTTGAACTGTCAAGCCTAGAAGTGCCCGGGCTCAGCTCTGGCACAAATTAAGCATTGATTAGATTCTAAATCTAGTTTGCTGTTAAGTAGGGAATGGTCTATTTCTATTTTTAAAAATGCTAACACTTTACTAGTTCTTGTATTTTCTAAAAGAAGTGTATGAAGTAATTGAGGGTTTTATATATGCTACAGCTCTTTCTCCTTTTTAGATTTAGATAAAATACCATTTTTAATTCAGTCATGTAATTTTCTTTTTACAAGAGGAAGAAATTAACTACACCACTCTGGATGCTTATGCAAAGGAAAGTTATCTGGTGACTTAAACTTCTTGCTAGCATCTCTTTTAAAAAGAGAAATTGAAACCTATAATACATGCTTGGTTTACTCAAGGAAGTGGAGTTTAATTATAAACATACACATTTTGTGAGGGAATGTATATTTACCAACGGAATCATGGCTAATGAACCACCATTGGTTTTGGTTCTGTTAAAATGAATAACAAAATTGCCATTGAACTTAGAAATCGCCATATTGAATCTAGTCCAGTGTCCTGTCAATTTTCAGGAAGGTGCATGAAATCCCACAGAAAACTGAGGTGGGATAATCTGCCCCCATGAATGCCTCATCCTACACTTTAATAGGTGGAGGGTGGTTAAGCCCTCAAACATGAGGTTTTCTATCCCTTCCAATAATCTTTTTAGCATTAACTGTCAAAACTTGGGATATTGCTATCTATACAAATGTCCAGTCCCTCTTTGATTTTTTGTGAAATTATTGGTCTCAATGATATCCTGTGGCAGTGAGTTCTAGTCTAACAGCTTTGTTTGAAAAAGTATTTCTTTTTATCATCAGTTTTGACTTTGCCACTTCTCAGTTTCATTGAATATCCCCTTGTTTTTGTGTTTGGAGACCGGGAGAACAGAAGCTTCTCCTGTTTATCTGAATGGAAGAAGGTAGGGCCTCTGGGCAGGAGATGATCCTTAACCCTTACACAAATTTAATCTAACTAAACTCCCGAGTAAGGACCAATTTCCTGAATAATTTGGAGGATCTAGCCTTTAATGTAGTTGGAATATGTAACACATCCTTATTTAGATGTTACAAAGTTTGTTTGGAAAAATTAACTAACAGATTTTTAAAATGACCAGAAAATTCCATATTAAGTGCTGTAATTTGGGGGAGAATATACTGTATTTTTAACAGATAAAAGGTTGAATCCCTAATTTAAGTGCAGAACTCAACTCTAAAGTAATTGTGGAGCTGTGACTGGTGCCTCTAATCAAATTACCACGTGGTCACTAAAATATTTTTCATCTTCAATATCTTGGCCACTTACTATATTTCTTGAAATACTTAAAGTACTTAGTTGATATTGTTGACTAATTAGCCAATTTTTAAAAGTAACTTCTTTGCATTTGACTGTTTAAAGTCACACAAGCAAAACCCCTTGTAGGACCTGAAAATGGACATTCCCCTATCAAACTATTGTCCCCACAATGAACACACACCACCCATTAGGTATATGAAGGCATGAATAATAATTATCACCTCTTGGCTGGACTGTACCAATACAAATATACCTGGGCATGCTGGCCAGCTCCAGCCAGCCTGGGTCAGGGTACAACGCCGGGAATGGCAGGAGAGGGTCTGGGGGCAGAGCACGGCCAGGGCCACAACAGCTGCTTGGAGAGGCACAGCCTCCCCTAGCCTATGATACTCGCCACCCATGGTCAACAGCTTCGCACATCTGGCACAGTGGAACTCAATGATAAGAATAAAGCTTGTCTGGGTGGGAGACAGAACTTTCTCTAGGACTTGTCCAAAAATCAAGGAACAAAACGCCCCCAGGAACTAAGGGCCATTACAGACCTCACTTGTTTCCATTCCAAGTGTAAGACCCATTTCTTTGACCTTGTCTTCTCTAACAAACACATAGCAACAGCTATATTTAAAGAAAAAATAAATAAGAATAATAAAAAAAACCCAAGCAAGAACAGCACAAAAAGCCCTACCAAAACAAGACACGCCACACACTTCTCTCTTTCGGGAGAGGAGGAGAGAACAAATGTGACAGATATATACTCACATTGCTTACTGCACTATGGAAGGCAGTCAGATGATGTGGTGATGAGCACAGTAAAGAATAGAAAATAAAAATCAGCTGGGCATTTAAATGCCAACTTTCAGCCTGTGACTGATGTTGCCCTTCCTTGCTGAATGCTAAGCCCCTTTGAAAATGAGGCTTAAAGAAAATGCTGATAGAACTGTCACTGTTTGTCTTCCTGTAAAAGATTATAGCTGAGTAAAATTCAGAGGCTTCCCAGTAGAGTTGACCCAGTTTTAAGACCCAAGTGTGTATGGATAATCTTTTTGTCTTTAATTAATTATATTAATCTTCTAACTTACCAGACAGGTTAGTTAGAATTTGGTTTTTAAAAAAGGTTTTTCAATGAGTTTGTAATCTGTAGACCTATTTGTACAGATAAGAAATTATAAACTCTGATACTTTCTAAAGTGATACTCAGAGAAATTTTTTAAGTTGATTGAACATTTCTAAACTTCTTAATTCTTGAGAGAATGCCTTGTGCAGACAGTTTTCACAGCAATAACTTGGCAGGCCATTTCAGGGAGAGGCTGTCAGTCTTTTTTTAAATGTATTGAGAAGCCATTTTTATATGAAGGCTATATTGTGTTTTTCATCTCGATAAGGCTACTTGTATTAGCCTATAATACTATCATAGTCCTAGGAATCTTGTGGTTCTAAATGTTCCAAAAGGTAACCCACTCTTACAAAGAAGAAGTAGACATATAAAGCTATGAGGACCACACCCAGAAGTATAATTTACTTGGCAATGGGATACTCTGTAGCAATTGTTCTCCCTGTGGAACACCTCCTGATGGTGGTTGGTCACACTGTGCTGGGTTTTTCTTGTTCAGAGCTGCTAGGTGTTCAGTCTGTAAAGCCAGGCAGGCATAAGGAAGAGCAAGCCTAGCTACCTCTACTATGGGCTGCTGCTACATAAGTGAAATAGAAAAGAAAACAGGAGCTGTCTTCAGGTATTGCAGCCATCACCAGCAGAGGAATGTCCAAAAAAGCAGAGCAGAAAGAAGAGACAGACCAGGTGGCAGAGAAGCATTTCTAGTAGATGACAGAAATTGCACCGATGGGAGGAAGAAATAGTTGACCTTTTTTTAAGAAAGAAAGAGAAAAATCACAATGAAGATATCTAAAAATACGTAAGCACTCTCCTAATATCTGTGTTTGCATATATGCAACAACTGTAGTTGCCACAGGGATGTTATATGATTGCAAATTGACCAGGGGCTGAACCATAAAATAATCTATTAAGAATTAGGAAAAAAGTTTGAGAACTCCGGGAGAGGGGGGCAAATAAAGGTTACT